TCTGAGCAGCAAATTTTTTGGCCGACTAGGAGACTCACGTGATCCAAGTTTTATACCTTTGAAAATTGCTAAAATTAATGATATTCATTGGCCAAATACATTGTCATATATTCACCTCTCCATGATGTGGAATTAATAAGCTGTTACTACAGAAATCAAGAAATGTCTACTCTTTCCTCGGCTCTTTCACTTGCTGTCCTTATCCTATTATTATTACTGGTTACTAGTAATGAAGGAGCAACAGGAGGAGGAGTATGTACTGAAGGATTCATGGACTTGAGTCTACTAGTAGCTAAAGCAGCTCCTGCTACTCCATCAACTGTCAATCCTTTTGCTAACAGCAACTTTGCCAGAAGATGGGTCATTGCTGGTGGTAATGCATTCAATTGTAGTACTGCTGCTGTAACAGAAGTTCTTCTTGGAGTTGATATCAGATCAAAGGATGGTAATAGGAACAAGTATCCTAGCATTGAGATATGGCAGTATTACTCTAATCAGCAGCCTCGAAATTACCAGGAACGTGCTTCTATTCCTATTGTACTGTCTCCTGATAATGTCACTACTAATGGATTATATCATTATGTTCTTCCTACTCCTTTTAGTGTCAGTAGCAGTGTTTACAGAAATTACAGACTAGGAGTGTATCAACCTGAAGATGATTCAAGTGTTGTTAGATTATATAGAGCAACAGCTAGCAGCACAGAAACAGTTGGAGTAATAAAAGCAGATTCAATAGTGGGTGATTCATATATCAGAACATCTGGTTGGGGTAGAGAAATTGATTTTTACAACAATGTAAGAAACATTTTTATGGTACACGTCAAAACAGGTATGTAACTGCATTTTAATTAATACATTTAAAAACAATTATTATTATTTTATAGATCCTCTGAACTGCTTTGAGAACTTTTTCACTGAAACTAAAATTAATACAAACAGTCTATCAGTTACTAATGTAATACCAGTCAATGATACAAGAGCTTTTCCTGATATACAGTTCACATGTAATGGTATTATTACTAACTGGATAATTGGAATTACACAGAATCAGGATACAAGCAAACATTATCCTAACATTTATTTAAAACGTTCTTCTGAACTGATTCATGCACTAACTGTTGATGCTTCTGCTGCTACATCAAGTAATGGTAATGTATATAACTTTACAAGTGATATTGAAGTAGAGTATGGAGATATATTAGTAATCAATGTAACCACTAATAGTAATCCAATGTATTATCAACAATACAATGGACCATTGAATTATGAGCTTGATAGCAGTAATGGATTAATACCATTGGAACATAATGACTATCCACTGATATCAGCTATAATTATAAGTGAGCTCTAAATAAATATTACATTATGATAAGTGTTATTATTAATCAATTTTTTTCCTTTAGAGCCAAGTCCTTCACTATCAAATTTCATTAGTAAATCATCTGTCGCTAGAAGTAGTGAGCCTACAGTATTAGGCAATGCAGGAAATGATAACTCAGCTTCAATAATAGCTGCTGTTGTAGTTACAGTATTAGTATTACTGATAATTAGTATTATAGTGATATTGATATTGATAGCAATAGCATATAAAAGAAGAAACAAAGCAACACTCATTCTTGGTGGACATGACACTTATCTTGTTAATGCCACTTATTCTGATATCACTCCAAATGGAAAAGAAGATGAAGGATTGAAAGGTATGTGCAATTCAAATTATGAATCACAAAGTACATGCTCATACATCATGCCAAAATAAACTCAAAAAAGTAACCCAATTTTTGTTCTTATTTGTGTTTTGATATCCAACTTCCCATTAAAAGCATTATTTATAGTTTATGTATAATGGGTAGACATGACCATGATTATATTTTGGCTGTTAGGATAATGTTTAATTATTATATTTTGTCTTTTATTGGAGCAGGTCCAGTCCTATATGAAGAGGCAATGCCAGTGATGAATGGAACAGAAACAGTTTATGGTGACACAATGACTGACAGTACACTGATTAATGTCAGTAATCCAACTTATGGAGCACCAGAAAACAGTAGGAAAACTGTATATAATGGTTTAATGCATCAAATTATGACCTTTAGGTATTGGAGCATCATCGGTGTATGAAGAACCAAGTGTAGCCATTAACAGAAAACAAAAAGTAACAAACATGTTTTTAAACAGCATTCATATGCATAACATAAACATTAATAACATACATGAGTAAAGTAAACATCAATAGACTCAAACATAATTAAAAAACACTTTCAGTTTATTTTTTGTGCTTTCCTAACAGGATATTGAATTTTCTAATGAACTGTATGGACTATTGAAAGAAGCAACACTGTATGTACCCACTGCAGTATGTATTAAATAAATTTTAATAATTATGTTTTAATTAATATTATTAATAGAAAGAACGTTCTGGAGAAGAAAGTGAAAAAATTTACTCTACACTAATGAATGAATTGGCAAGTCTTAATCAACTGTGCAATATAATTAAGTAATCATCATATAGCATTCCTCTGCATATTCAGGACTTGATCATACTGGTGGTAATACATTCTTTATAGAAGATACTGAATACTGGGAACCTGATAGTAATACTGATGGTATATACCAACAATTATCTGATAGGAAATACAGAGAAATTATAAGACACCAAATAAAGTAAGAGAGAGAGAGGGAGACATAATGTCAACAGTAACATGTATGGCTTCATGAATATGTACACATTCTCACTCCAATAGAGTAACAGATTATTTAGGATCAGGACAGTTTGGTACAGTTAATAAAGGAATATGGACTACACCTACTGCTGGATCAGTGTCTGTTGCTATTAAAACACTTAATGATAATACTTCAGAGGATGAGAGAGTAAAGTTTCTACAAGAGGCAGCCATTATGGGTCAGTTTCATCATCCTAATGTTGTTAAACTTCATGGAGTGGTCACCATTGGACATCCTGTGAGTCTGTAGTATTACTAATGATTGTACTCTTTAATAATTATTAAATGTTGTACATAGATAATGATAGTACTGAAATTGATATCTGGAGGTGACTTGAAAGAGTATCTTAACAAATTCAAACCATCGTAAGTTTATATTAAGTGTACCATTAATACTTCTCTCTCTCTGTCTCTTCTTTTAGTCCTGGGGAGTTAGTATTATCATCAGTTCCTTCTA